ATTATCTTTCTAGTTTAAGCACCTGAAAGAATAAATAAAATCAGAAAGGTATAATATACTAGTATAATATAAAGCAGTAGTCTGTACTAATAGTGTTTGGACAGGATGTCATGTCTGCATCTTGTGTTATGAATGACTACTACAAAGACAACAATATGCAATGTATTAATTGTTGTAACTCTCCTACCAAACTGTTTTGAAGCTGTCACATTACAATTTTTCTCATAAAATTAATAAAAATAAGAAACTGAATGAATGAATGAATGCGATCCAAAATGTAGGATATTGTAAAATGGAGAGACAGTTCTCAAAAGGAAAGAACAACTGGGATGGGTGATATGGAATAAAGGAAGCAAAATAGAAGAAAAAATATGCATTGTATGTAAATATATATGATAGCTAATATAATTATGTTACTAATTTCTTTTAGTTATTATAAAGAATGTTGCTGCTTATATTGTTTGATCAATTTTGCATGTTTATATTTTGTAAACTAAGCAACTACTTTGAAGGTAACTATGTAAAACATTAATCATTATTAATTTTTTATTTAGTTTTGAAATCCTGTTATCATTTTTATTATTTTCTCTATAAAGTAACAAAATAAATACAGTATATAAAATATAAAGCAGTAGTATAATATAAATATTACAGTAGTATAATATAAAATATAAAATACATATAGTAGTATAGTAAATGCAAAGAAGTTGAATATATGAAAGAAACAAAAAAGTTGAGGGAGAGGAGAAAAAATGAAATACTAAATCATTGCAGTATATATTCAAGATAGCTGAGATGATTATATTATTAATCCAACAGTGAGTGTTTTTTTAATAGCAGTTAATGTTTAAAATTTTTACTTTGAATAACTCTGTATACTAATATCTGCAATCTGAGCACCATCAAAGACAGCAATGAACAATACAAAAAGCATGACTGACTACCTCTCATCTTGCTCTTCTAAAAGTATACCATTACTAATGTTTTGTCAATTATTATAGTCTTTTTAAAATTAAGCAAAATAGTGAAAATATTTTATTTAAATCAAGTATTACAGTTCAATTATCAGTGCAATCTTGCAAAACTATAACATTTAATCTGAAGATTTGACAGTAAAATTGTACAATAGAACCATTGTTAACTTGCTATTATTGTTTTTGAAAATATGTACCATATGCATTTTTGTATGTTACTGTGTTTCTATTTTTGCTTTTGCTTTATTTTTTTGGTTTTACTCTTTAAATTAAAATAAAATATTTTTTTAAAGAAGAAATCACCAATAGAGGAAAAAAAATCACAAATAAGGAAAAATTTTACCTAACTTTCCCTTAGATAAAGGACTTTTATATAGAACCTATAAAGAATTTTAAAATCAGGTGCCCCAGATTCAAAGACCCAGTCCAGAAATGGGCGTCTGAGATGAATACATACTTCTCACATGAAGATATACAAATGACAGATCAATATATGAAAAAATGTTGGGCATCATTTTTCAATTGAGAAATGCAAATTAAAACAACACTGAGATTTCATTACACACAAGAAAGAATGGTAGAATATTTTAAAAAAATAATTGTGAGTTAACAGGATGAAAGGCATTGTTACATGTGTTTTTGTTATAAAACAGAAAACAGGAATATGCAGTACATGACATAGTCATCATGATCTCCACAGGCTCACTAGGAATGCTTGTCAAAGCTATGGGATAGGTGTACGCTGGAGGAGAAACACGGGTGAGTGACAACAACCTGGTCCACGTCAGTATCACCTATACCATGGTCTAAAGGAGAGCACAGGGAAGATCAGATTTCTGGAAGTGACTGAAGACTTCCCAACAAGATTTCTCCATAAATTGTACCAATAAACTTCATTTTACCAAAGTTGAGAAAAAGGAAGGAAAGCTATATA